ACCCCAAGTCCAGGAAGAATGCTGGGGAAAAAAAAACAAACAAACAACAAATGCAGAGCCAGAAACAGACCAGTAAATAAGGACGTGTGAGCTGGGGAGCACCTGGCTTTCCCAGGCTGCCAAAATAGTCATACAGAGGGAAATGCTCTCAGAGCATCCTCTTTCACCACATGCTTGGCTTTATGTGTTCTCCAGTTCAGTGCTTCGTCACTGATTGCAAAAGCACACGTGGACATTGGCCAGGTGAGGAGATTGGAAAAGGAAATGAAGTATCAATGGCAAAAGTATGTCACCTTCTTTTGCTTGCCTAAGCTTCTAAATGAGTTGTCAGTCATAGATTCATTAATCATTTACCACTTACGATGTTATTTACTATCTTTAAACCATAGCAGCAACATGCCACCCATAAAATCTCACCACAATGCTATACGAATGGGTAATACATGTTACATAGCTGGAGTAACGTAGACTGATGCTGCCAAACCAGTCTGGTTTTCCCATTATTCTTCCATATATTTCAGCATATGAAACTTAGAGAAATAGCTCTGTAGAACTGTTTAAATGGGGAAGTCACAGTTTGAAAAAGGTATGCGTATAGATATGTGCCTGTAGTTAATGAGAGTGCTCCGTCTCCATCAGCATAACAAATTGCTTGTCTTAAAACTCCCCCAAAAACCCAGGAGAAAAAATATCCCAGGATTTAGTTTACAAGATGACACAGTGTTTCTGAATACTGTGGTCTTCTTGGAGCATTATATGTCCACAGAACAGCCCTATGAGCATATGAAAAACAGTAACTGCACTACACCCTGTTTCCAGTTGCACACACACTGAAATGATGTTTTAGATTCTAGTCAATGCTCCATGCAAAGGCATCTTTCTAAGTTACATGCTTGCTTCTTCAGGGAGTGGATAACTGTCTTTCTGGGGCTCCCCAACAAGGCAGCTTGAGCCACCGTAGTGATTGGATGAAGTCAGTACAGAAGGCTAATGGTGATGGTCACTGGAGCTAAAGGGGGCCTTGACATTTGTATCAGCATGAGCTGACCCTTAAAATCCCATCCTTTGTCCTTGTCCCAGCCTACAGGTCGAACAGGATGACTGTCATGGGCTGGATGTGTGTCAGACTGTCTTGGTTTAGCCTGGATTTCAAAACCCTGCTCCCATCCTTTCTCAAGCCTTTCTCTGCAGTGCTGCAGCAGAGGGGTCCAGTGTGCGCACAGATCCTGGTATCTCCTCAATGCTATTATTGTTACACTCTTGGATGATGGTACCGCTTCCAGGTCCCAGCAGAGACCTTGACCCATTGTATGAGGCACTGTACAAACGCTCCTGCTGGAGAAGTTTCAACAGATGCAATGAACACTAGGGCCTTGTTCTGTCTCTGGAGAATGGAGGAAAAGCAAAGCAAAGGGCTGGATCCATGGAAGCCTTTGAGAATCTAGATCCTCGGTGTATTTAAACAGTAACTACAAAAGTTCTTTTGTAAAGATACATGAGTTGCCCAGTGCACAGGGAGCCAGGGAACTGAAATTAAAAGCTAGTCCATCGCCTTAGTTCCAGGGCTAATCTTCTTGTAAACATCCATTAAAACAAAGGTTTTCTAATGTATCACAAACTGCCAGGCAAATTCACTGGCTACAAGTATTGCTCTTTCCCTCTCAGTATCATCAGACAAAGAGTCGCACAAGCTAGTGAGGCTTGGTTTCCTATGCGTTTGTGCCCAAAGCCCCCACAAAACCCTTTTACAGCAGTGTAATAACCACTATTCCCCATCTGTGATGCCTTCAGCTGTCCCTCTTCCACGGCTGCTTGTTTCCAAATGGCGCAACTGTTCAAAAGCCCTTAATGCTGCTGATGTGGTTGGGCCACACTGTAGATGTGTTAGATGTGTTGGCTGCCTGGCAGATGTGTATGAGCTTTTAGTGGGGGCAATGTGGTGGCTTTCTTCCGTGTCTTGCTATTTTATTTAACTTGTTATTTTGGGAATCACAATGCTTCCAAGATCTTCACTCTTCTGCCTACTTTGTTTGATGTTTCCCACAAAGGGACTGACTGACAGACAAATGCACGTTACAGTTTCGTGCTCCTTGTTCCCTTGGGAAACCAGGCTAGAAACAGAAACATCTTGGGTGCGTTGGGTGAGATCTGTGGTTCCCAGGCATTCACTTCTCTAAAAACCAACACACACTGGAGCTGCTGGTCATGCATTAGCTTACAATAGCTTCTTTTATCTCACAATGAAAGCTGTGTGTTTCAGCCACCGCAGCATTTGATTATGGTGGTTACAGTGTTAGCTAATTGCAAAGCGAAGCAAGCTTATTAAGTGCCACAGTTTGGGGCATGTCTTCTGAGCCTGTTTGCTTGTTTCCTTATGTGTACATGTAAGACAAAGACTGTTTATATATATGTTGATACATATTATGTACATATTATATATTATTTATATTATATATATGTTTATACATATATATATGTTTAGATGTATATTTGTGAATTCCATTTTATGCACCACCTTTTGTGCACTGTAGGCATACATGTATGTCAATATATAAGTCTATATTCATGGGCATTTTCATATACGGTTTTATAGATAACATTTTCTACAAAATTATATAAATGCATGCACATGATATTTTCGTTATGTGTACATACACATATACATACACGGGTATGTATATATGCATATACATACATGTGTATATACACACACACGTATTTTAGGATGAGCAAGAATTAGAGACATGATTCCAAGTCATATTTAAGGGATCTGACTGATAAAGAAGTCCTAGGATGGCTTCCTTACCAAGCACTTCAATAAAAACAATTTTCCCTTTGGAAAACATCATCAGCTTGTTGGCCAGGGCCACTTCTTCATATGCTCCCATGGACCTCTTTTTCCCAAGTGATAGAGTTTGAAATAGAACATGCTTAGTTTTGCAAGTGCTGAGGTTCATTAGGGTGGAGGTGAAAAGGTCAGATGTGACCTCTCCTGTCACTTCATCCAGGCTAAAAGCAGTCACAAGGCTGAATCTTGAAAAGTACCGGTGTCTTCAAGTTCCTTATGAACAGAAGAACAAAGAGGAGAGGTGTTTTGTGCCGGCACTGGAACACACAGGCAGGGATCACCCTTATTTTCTGCCATTGGGGATTTAGAATCATCAAATCATAGAACAATTAGGGTTGGAAAGGATCTTAAGATCATCTAGTTCCAAACCCCCTGCCATGCGGAGGGATACCTCACGTTAAACCATGTCACCAAGGCTTTGGTCCAACCTGGCCTTGAACACTGCCAAGAAACATTATGCCCAATGCCACCACATGTCAACAAAGCTTCAAAACAGAAATTGTAAAAGCTTTGAATTAAGGAACAACCTAGCTCTATGAAAAATCTATGGGCCAAATCCTTGCATATGTATAAAAAATAGAATCTATTGAAGTTAACAGCTTGTGAAGATGTGCAGCATTTTTCCTATTTGTTTTTACATAAGGATTGTGTTATTTTCAGCCTGCTTACAAAGTTTTACCATAGCCAGAAAAATTCATGTCTCCCTAGAATCCATCTTTCTCTGGGTTACCAAATTGAAGAAAAACAACTTGCCAATTGAAACTAAAGCAAAAGAAGCGACTGATGTAAACCGGTTGCATCATCCCAAGTTCAGCCCTGTACTGGTCCAGCCTCCAAGCCATGCATGATTCAGCAGTTTTGCTGTGCCATCAGGTACTTTGGAAGCAGATATTGCAGTTCTTCCTGCAGAAATACATTTCTACTCTCCCAAGTGAAGCAACAGCCAATGTGCAATGGTGCATGGGTGCTGTGCTAACAGTTTATCAGGGAATAAAACTGTCTCTATCACCCTTCAGTGACAACAAACTGATTGCCTGGAAAGGTAGTGACAATTTTTTGGCTGACATTTGCATGTGAAACCACTTCTGCAGAAAATATTCACACTGAAGTTTACTCCAAGCAGCAGCCCAGTTGCACCCAGTGCACCAGAAGCTATGCCAAAGGTTGTCCTCTCCTTTTTCATCCTAACCTCTGTAACGCATGCCTCCTTTCTTCTACTCCAGCCATGTAAAACAAAGGTATGTGTCACTGGCAGGGTGTCAGTAGGAAGTGGGACCTGTGTGTTGGTAACACACAGAAGGAGATGGTGGTCCCCAGGCACATGCCATTTCTATGTAAATAAATGGGTACATGAGTTATTGTCCTTCATCTTTCATCTGACCCTGCATTTCATCCCTCAGAGCTAGCCTAGAAGCAAAACATAACCCACAGATAAGAGGATCTATCCTGAAAACATGAGCTCTGGTGTGGTTATTTTGGATTCAGAGCATCCAGGCTGTTCAAGATCACAGCAGGTAGAGAAACTGTGAAAACATCCCTGGTACAAGGTGCTCTAAGAGAGCTAGGTGAGTCCAAGGAGAGAAGGAAACAGAGGTTCTTGGACCCAGCCTCATGAAGTGAGAGGCAGACATCGCACAGAGAGCTCAGGAGAAACTTTGTTCTCTCTAGGCTTTTCCCATGGGTTTCACCATGAGGTAGGATCTGACTGAGAATGACAGAGGGCTAGTTCTAGGGCTGTGTGCTAGAGACTAGAGTCTAGTCCTGATGATCAGCAGCGAAGACTGAAGTGTGGTATTGAAAATTAAACAGGTATGCCAATGCTCATTTCCCAGCTTAGACCACATTAATCAAGAGATGACAGTAATGATACCTGAATCTCATGTCTAAGCTATGGACAGCCGTACTTTTGTTGTACTAGTGTACTAGTCTTTCCTTTGGGTAATTAAACTGTTGGCCTATGACAGTGCCAGCAGGCCTGTAATTTAAGTCTTGGAATCTGTGCATAGAGGAATTTTTGGCTGCTGTTAATGGATGGATTTCTATTAGAGTTGAAAATACTGCTTGTTCAAGGCCTTTCCAAAAACAGGGTGGCAAAACAAGGAGACTTAACATCCTAGCTCAGGAAAAAAACAAATTGTACATTGGCAGTGGATGAAGATTCTCCTTTTATTTTAAATCCTCTGTAAAATCAGAGCAATGGGTCAATTCCAGCATTCAGCCTATTTAATTAGCGATTTCAGAGTAATCATGGTAATGAGCCAAGTCGGCAAAGATATCGTTGGGGTTCTTGCAGTTCAAGTTGCAGAAGCAAGCATTGATCCACATGATTTTCCAGGAAAACTCAGTTCCGTCTGGGCACTGGAACCTCACTTCAATAGTCTTGGACTTGTAGGGTGTGCAGCACCTATTGTCTGTGCAGACACCACAGTACTTGGGTCTATATGGACTTTTGCTCACACATCCTGAGATGGTGTAGTTCATTGGTTCGTTGGCCCTGTAGACAGCCAAGCACTTCTTCCCAGGCTAAATCAGAACAGAAAAGAGACAGGTTAATATATCTTGCTGACACAAGTAGGACCTTCCCCATATTTAAAGGGTTTTGAAGCTGTTAGGAAGCATTTTACAGCCCTGATCTAGAAGCTGTGGCGGTTTTACATGCTTAGACACATGAATCTAAAAGCTGCAAGTAGGGTACTTGCGAATGCAGCTCATAGCCATGACCAGCAGTGCACCAGTGTTCTTCCACTAGCTGAGTCCCAGGTTCATCTGAACAGTGAGCACAGTGGACTTGGCTTGCCTTTCCTTGCAAAGACCCTCTGGCTGGAACTAAAGCTCTCAAGGGGTTGTTTTCACACCAGCGTGTGGAAGCACAGGGGGGACATGTTCTTGGCCTCTTTGCAGCACAGAAAGTCCATGTAGAAGTGCAGCCTTCAGAAGCCTGAATGCTGCCGAACAACGGCTAACCCCGTGTCCAGACAAAGCTCCGGGGCTGTGCATAGGGGCAGTCCCCACCTTAATGTGCTTGGTGATATCCACCTCGCAGGGCCGCATGTTGCACAGGCGGCTCTCCTTCAGGAGCCGGCACTGGTCGTTGTCATTGGAAATCCTGGTGGAGATGCCCAGCCCGCAGGTCTTTGAGCAGGGACTCCAGGGGGAGGTGTGCACGATGCAGTTCTTCTGCCAGGCTTCATCCTCTCCCTCGTACGCTGCGGGGAACAGATTAACCCCATGTTATTCAGCCGCAGCAGCTCTCCATATTAAACCCCCTCTCCCCAGCTCATTACACATTCAGGCCACTAACCCTGAAATCACAGCGGAGTGGCTCAGCATTCCCGTGAACCCTCTCATCCCACCCCCTTTGCTGCTGACCTACTTTGTGTCAGACCCTCTGGAGCTGCGAGCGCTTGGGGCCAGGGCTCATTTCTTTATCTCCCTTTGCAGCCTCACACAAGGGGGTCCTTGTCTGGGACCCCCAGGTGCTGCCACAATGCAAACAATTACAGCCAGTGCAGAAAAGGGATGAAGGTTTATTTCTGAGCCCATTCAATTGATTCTGTAACAGAAAGTGGTCAACAGCCTGCTGGATGGCCGAGGGGCTTGGGAAGCAGCCACTGCCTTTCAGTAGGAGGAAGAGCAGCTTGAATAGCTCTCAGAGGGCCCAGCAGCCACTTGAAGAAGGGGTGGGCTCTGTTTTGAAAGCAGCTGACAACCCCAGTTCAGGTTCCTTCACAGCCTCGGCCAAGGTCCCCACTGGTCTTTGACTCACAGTACAGCCTGCAGGCAAAGCTCTGATAGAAACTGCTGTGCTGAGCTCTCTCAGTATTAGGTTTATTACTCTATTAGTTATTCTGTTAAATGTAGTAATTGTTAGCCTTGCTTTTATAAGGCTTCTACTTATGAGAGGAAAGGTCAGGCAAGGAAAGCTGTGTTATGCCCATTTTGGGACACAGGCCATGAAGACATAAGGTTAATTTCAGTAGTAGATGTTTTGAATTTGGACCTACAGTTCAAAGCTACCACGGACATAAGTGAGGGTGAAACTCTAGTGGGTTTAACCCACAAAATGGAGACTGAGGCTTTGTTTTCTGCAGCAAAAATACAGATCAAGGACTGGGAATAAAACCTTTACCAGTAAGGAACCAAAATCCTGGTTTACAGCAAGCATTCCATGTGTCCTTGAGCTCTGCTTTTGTGAGATAGTCTAAAATATGGAGCTAATGTGGCTAATGTCACTACATTGCATCACAGGGTGTCATGAGGATAAATTTAAGACGTATGGCAGGGTAAGTCCATCTTGAGCCTTTGGGATCAGAGGCAAATGGCACCAGCTCTGTGCAGTGAGCTACATGATCCTCACTATGAATGTGAGTGTGAGGAAAGAAGATACTTTATGTGATACATAACGTAGTTCAATAATGTCAGAATTCAGTTCAATCAGTCCAGAACTGTGAACTGGCAGTGAAGGTTCCACAGTAAATGGTTTCAAGGTGTTATGTAAGTTTGGGACTACTAAAATACAGGGACTTTAAAATCACAGAATCCCAGACTGGTTTGGGATGGAAAGGACCTTAAAGCTCACCCAGTTCCAACCCCCTGCCATGGGCAGGGACACCTTCCACTAGACCAGGTTGCTCAAAGCCCTCTCCAACCTGGTTTTGAATGTTTCCAGGGATGAGGTAGCCACAGCTTCTCTGGGTAACCTGTGCAGTGCCTCAGCACCCTCACAGGGAAGAATTCTTCCTTATATTGAGTCTATAACCCAGAGAGAAAGCCTCAGTCCCAAATTAAACTGCTTTGCAGAGGGCCCAGACTGAATACAAACTGGTGATGTAAAAAGGACTTGTGACATCTTCCAAGTGCCAGCAGATGTGTGCTTCAGAGGGGGCTTTGTCACACAGGCATGCTTGGTGAATCTCACATTGCTGCTGAGCGGTTCAAGCACACTGCTGTGTTTCACATGTCCTCTCCTTCACTACATGCTGGAGTCTCTGTGCCTTATTCACACAAAGACCAGATGCCTGCTGCTACAAGCTGATACTTTGGCTTTAGACTGACTTCCAGTTGCCCATTGACAGGGAAGTCCACTTCAGTCCAATCATACCTGCAGAAGAGATGTGTCGTGGAGATGTCTTCCTGATCTTCTTGGAGTCATCACAAATCCACTGTTCGCAGCACTTCCCTGCTAACTTAATCAGCTTTGGGTTTGGGCACCAGACAAGGGGAGGACGCGAGTTTGTGCACATGGGAATACAGCCCACGGCCCCGTTAATGCACGTGCAGTTGTATTTGCAGTTGGGCTGAAACGTGTCCCCATTGTTATACCTGACCCCGTTGAGGACACATCCTACACCGACAATCTCTGAAAGGAAAGAAGAAGAGAGAAAGATACACAGAGCACTGTTAGAATAATGCTGGTGACAAACAGTGCTGATGTGCTGCTGTACCAAGCTGCTCCCTGGGCTAATGGAGCCAACATGGAGACATGGCTGTGGGATGATGTCGTCAGCGTGATGCTGAGCCAAATGTGGTTACACCATCTAGGAAACAGTTTTCATTCTGAATCACAGCAAAAAAAAGAAGAATCTTTTAATGCATCATGGAGAAAAGAAGTGTGTTTTATCCATGAATTCGCATTTAAAAATCATTTTGTAGCCTGCTGGCAAAAGAAGGAGCAATAAAAGTAATTAAATAGGTATTGGGTGAAATCTAATGTTTTCAGGGATATATGAGAGGACCACATGGAGTTGCAAATATGACTCAGCTCTTCACAACACCTTCTGAAGCAACAGCAGGAGAACACCCAAGTGAAGAAGTGCTTAAAATGGCACTAGAATCCTATATTTAGGCAACTTCAGTTTATCACAGAACAGTTTTCTTGGAAAATGAAGTCATACATTATAAGGCCACAAAAATGGGTATTTTATGAATATTTTAAAATAAAATCACAAAAAAAAAAAAAATCAAACTTTTTGCTTGCCCATGAACAGAAATCGCATTGGTTCAAAAAGCAGCCACTTCTTATTTCAAAGTTGTAACAGTTACTTGGAACCAATGACTCAAATTTAATGGAAAATTCAAGGTTCACTTCCTTGTCTGTTCACACGGAGGCAGTGTGCACGCACCGATCAGGTTGCTTAAGTTTTGAGTCTGGTTGGAAATGGAGCTGCAATGTGGCTGCTTCAAGGCTAACATGGATTGAAAGGCTGGGTTCAAATTCTGAAAAGGCTTCCTAATTTTAGAATGGGCTGAATGAAAACATCAAACACAAATCCCTTTTTCTGTACAAAAATGAGAGTTGCTATTTGAAGGGCAGGTTCAGCTCCAATTTTGATCATGCTTCTGTCTTTGTATTGAAGAGACATCACTCAGTGCTGGAGCTGGAGTTGAGAACTCAGCTAAACTTCAAGGTGTACACACAGATTATGACAGCTCAAGAGAATGCTGTATTATCTGGTACTCTGCTACCAGCATATCCCTCCTGGGGTGTGTTAAATCAGCCTCATGCAGGTCTCATACATCGGGAGGTTCATCATGAGAACATCCTGAACATACACAAAGGAGCTGTTTAATGCTTTCATGTAGAACCTCGTTGAATCTGCAACTAAGTTAGGCTCTTTGGGAGCACATAGCTCTTCCTGTCACATCCCTGGTCCTGGCCTCAAGTGCACAATGCCTGCCTCCCCACCTGAGCGTGTGCTCAGCATCCTGCTGTCTGCTTCAGTGCAGAAAAAAGCCAACAAAAGGAGACATGTACTGAGGCTCCTATCTGATGTCCAGGTGACCAGATCTTGGACACATCTTACCATGCCAGTTCAGACACAACTTGAATTTCTCACATTCTCACCCCATTCATTTTCCCAGCACCTGAAAGAATTCTGTGATCTTTCAGGATCTTTATTTTCCACAAATTCCATTGTTTCTGTAGTCCTGCATGCACTGGATTCTCTAGACCTGGCTTTTTGGCATCCAGCTGCAAAGCAAATTCCTCACAGTAGTTGGTCCCCAACACCCAGCTCAGGAACCCCACTCTTGCCTTCAGTCACCCTGTGGTCCCAGCAGTAGCTGGTGTGATCAGAGTGGAGTGATGTGATCTATGTATGATGTGATCTGTATATGTCCCAGTGCATGAAAAGAACATGTCAGCAGATCCTGTCATGTGCATCTATCTGGATGCTGAAGCAAGGGGAAGACCACAGCTTTCTGCGGCAGCCAGAGACAAGCCACTCCACTTCCTAATTATGGGAAGACCTACTTCGCATGCCCTTCAGCTGTGCACACCACAGTGCCCCTCGCCTTATAGCCATGAATGTCACATAATAGGGAATATAATAGGGAATTAAGGCTGTGTGGAGACCTCATAGCAGCCTTCCAGTATCTGAAGGGGGGCTACAGGGGTGCTGGGGAGGGACTCTTCATTAGGGACTGTAGTTATAGGACAAGGGGTAATGGGTTAAAACTTAAACAGGGGAAGTTTAGATTGGATATAAGAAGAAGTTCTTTCCTGTGAGGGTGGTGAGGCACTGGAATGGGTTGCCCAAGGAAGTTGTGAATGTTCCATCCCTGGTGGTGTTCAAGGCCAGGTTGGACAGAGCCTTGGGTGAGATGGTTTAGTGTGAGGTGTCCCTGCCCATGGCAGGGGGGTTGGAATTGGATGATCATAAGGTCCTTGAAACCCTAACTATTCTATGATTCTATTCTATGATTCTATTATATTGTTGTGGCAGCAGGGAGGTTGGAAGTGGATGATCTTGCAGTCCTTTCCAACCCAAAACTTTCTATGATTCTGTAATTCTACGTTTCTATGATGTGAAAGTGCAGATTGAGAATCCTTCCAGGCCAAACTGGGGAAGCTGGGGATCAACCTTCCTACAGCACAGTGCTGTTGTCACAGGACATACTGAATGCCTGTCGTGTATGGGAGGACTACACCCCCCACCCCCCACCCCCCCCCCAGAATATCCAACCAAGAAATCAAGCATTTAAATACACAAATGTGAAGCAACATGAATGTTTCCAAAGAAGTCTAGGAAGGCTGAGGTAGCTTTGAGACAACATCCAGCTGGTTTGCCTCTCCCAGCACAGGGCCAGCTGTAACAATGTCATTCTTGACACGTTTGTCTAACCTGTTCTTACAGACCTCCCACGAATGCTTCACACGCACTCCAGACAATACATTTGAATAATTTCATATCCTCATCCTCTTTTCTTAACCTTAGATCTTTTCTAATCTTAAAAATCACTGTTTAAGCTTATGGCATATACCTTCTTTTCTTGTTATTTTGTCCGCACACTACAAAATCTGTTTAGATTGCTCTTTCTGCATGCTTGTATTTTCGTGGATAAGCTAATGCAAAGCCAAGCTTATTTTTAACCACTCTTCCTTACAACCCCTAGTATTTCTGTCAGCTATCCCAAACCTCTTTACTCCTTAGAGTTGCCCCTTCAAAGCTTCTGCTGATATTCTAAGTTTATTGAAGCCCAGTGTTTGCAGTCTTTCCTCTTTCCTGTGGATCAGTTATTCTATCCATCTCACAAGCAGCTCTCCTCCAGGTTTCCTTCCAATTTGCATTTTCTATTAGTACCATTTGTGGTCATATTCCTCCAAGTGACATTTTCCTTTTTATGAACCTAAAGTTGTAACCAGTATCTTCTAATATCATGCTAAACATTCAGCATCATTTCTGATCAGCGACCTCTGTGGATTTATTCATGATCCTTTCACTTTTAATCATTCCCAGAGTAATGATTTTCAATCGTTTATGACATTTCTGAGCAGGTTGGATTCCCCCCATGTTCTGGATCTCAGAACAAGTGGACATAACCCAGACATACAAACATTACCTCATTTCTTTTAGCATAAAACCATTCCAGTCACATGAATTATCCCACCAAGATTTCCTTATGACAGGCAGGAAGAAATCCTTCTGCTTCATGGCAGCTGACATGTCTGTAAGATTAAGGCTCAGACCTCAATTTGTCACCAAGAAAATTTGCTAGAAGATGATTCAACCCCAACCCTATTGGACAGGATACCACATGCTATATTTCTCAGGGATCCACTACTGAGAATAAACCAGAAGTGTCCCTTACTGTAGACACCCACACTGCTTGTCTTTAAAGACAACTGTATATCTACGTTTCCTTCATGCCCAACACCCTACAGCACCTTTTACTATTGCAGGGTATATAAAATCATCTACTTCTAAATCTGAAGACCTTCAGATGCTGGTTGCTCATTGCTCTTTGCTGCAGCCAACTCAAAGAGCACAAATTCAGATGCCATTTCTCATCCAGCCAGCTGCCCTGAAATGAAGACAGCTATAAGGAAATGGAAGGTGGTGAACAGAGGAGCTGATGAGCGTACAGCCAAGTATCTAATGAGATAAATCTCAGCCACTGCTCAAACTGAGGGGAGCTGCCAGTGCGTGTCTAAGTCAAAAATATATGTACATCACTTACGTGCACATACTCCTATTTCGTACCTAGGTCTGTCTCCACTGTAGTCACAGTACAAGCCCCTGTGGAAGTCACAAGTGTCGGCCTCAGTGCATCTCTCTCCACGCTGCTTGGCACACGTCTTGCAGCAGTCGCAGCCGTCTGTGACCAGGCTGATGCCCACCGAGCACCGAGGTGGGGACTTCGGACATTCACATGGCCACTTACAGTACTGAGCCCGCGTGTAGGTCTCTGTTGTGGTGGGGGTCATGGTGGTGGCAGTGGTCTGGGCAATGGCCTACAAACAAAGAAACACAGCTTGGAGAGCGTTCCAGAGAAAAGGTGCTTGCAAACCCTTTGGTGACTAGTCCTCAATTACAATCCCCTTTGGTCTGCAAGGAGACTAATGGGTAAATGTCAAAGAGACATGGAAAGGGAGCTGTCACTGCTGTCTTGTATCTCTCAGATACCAGGTTAGGGCAAATGCTCTGCAGCTCAGATTGGTATCTAAACTGCGTTGCCCCAGTTTGCTGTACTCAGCCTTTTCCAGACCTCTCTTCCCTAAACAGAGGTCTCTCTCCATAACCAAACATGTCAAACCCTCCTTCTGACACATGAGAAGAAGGTGTGGTGTGTCCAGGCTGTGCTACCCTGTGGTGCCTGGCTCTGGCAAAGGATTGTGCCACCTATAGCTTGTTCTTGTTGATTGAGAGATGGCTCTAGGGCCTCTCTTGGCTATTTAAAGACTTCCATGTGCATCAGTCATTGATGAAGGTAAAGGTTATCATGTTACAGTGGGAAAGCTCATGTGGGCCTGTTTGGCCTCATCTTCTTCAGGTTTATCCATATTTGTGTGTGTCTTGAATCCAAAACACTGGATCCCATAAATCCACAAGGGTACGAGGAATAGACCTGTGAGTCCACCATCCTCACAGCCACTCATGGACATCTGTGTTGTACAAATGATCTGAACCCACAGACCTAGCACTCCATCACGGATGCCCTGAGGATGTCTTGGTCATTTCCTCTCTTCTTCTGATACTGCTAATAGCACAACAACTGCTGCCTTACAATGTCCTAGTCCTTTGACTTGAGTAGAGATGAGGTTAAGGAACGAAAAAGAACCTCTGAAGCCAAAATCTGGCTGTCTGTGAGCACCATAATTCACAAGTTCACCCATCTCTGTCTGAAAAATATATTACTTATCTATCTCCATCCCTATAACACAAAACACATGCAGTTCAGCTCCCTGACAGAGTCCTAGTCCTAAACCATAGTATGGCTATAACAATTAAAATTAATTAATTAATTTATAACTTAATTAATTAATTAAAGTCATCTATTTCTTCTAAGCACTCTGACAACCACCCTTATCCAACCTTCACAGTGTCCAGTCTACCATATTCAGCAGAAACACTCTCTGTGCATCCTAAAGTAGTCATGAGACTCTTGGATTTGTGATGGGCTCTTCCAGGTCTCACTGGAGTTCCCATGATATTTCCCTCACCCACAAAGTCAAACAACTTGAATATTTCTGCAGTGATTTTCCACCTCTGTCTTTTGACACATGCTGTTGTCCTACACGGAGCCACTGTGGGAACTCTAAGTTGGATGAGTGCAAGTGAGTCTTCATAATGTTAGTGCTTCTTCCATTAGCCATGCACAAATATTTGCCAGCATGGTGAGAAAGGAAGGAGAACTTTTACGGGGAGGATACTGCCAAGTTTCCACTTCCTGATCTCCATTTCCTTGGCAAGCAAGGAAAAAAAAAAAAAAATCCCACAAGTACAAGTTAATTAAAAATCTGATAATCAGATTAAAAATCTGATCAAAGTAAATCAAGGTATAAAAGGGATTTCGTGTAACAAAGTGATGCTACTCCAGCAGACCCGTTCAGGTCACTATTACTGAGATAATGGAGAGCTGCGGTACCTCAGCTGATAGAAACCCACAGAGGGCAGAGTTTCATTGCCTTCTGCGTTCTCCAGTCCCTGCAGAGCAAACTCTGGATGACATTTAACAGCACCAGCCATGCTTGTGATTCTGGAAGGGTGCAAATCAGCCCAGTGACAAGCAAAAAGGTGCCTTTTCTACCAGGATTACTGCATGGAAAACTGGAGCTGCACATGGGAGTCAAGCAGGGCCCAGAACTTCAGGTACAGAACAAACAAGGTTATTTATGGGCTATCAAAAGCAGCCAGAGCATGACCCTGCTTGGGTACATGAGGTCCAGAAGACCTTTATTGTGACAAGAAGTGAGGGCTGAAATAGTGTGTAGCTCTACAAAGTTCAGACAAGGAAAGTCAAGGACTGGAAATTACTAAGGCAATTCCATCCATTCATAGAATGGTTTTGGTTGGAAGTGACCTTAAAGATCATCCAATTCCAACCCCCTGCCATGGTCAGAGACACCTTCCACTAGAGCAGGCTCCTCAAAGCCCCATCTAACCTGTTTTTGAATGTTTCCAGGGATGGGGCACAGCTTCTCTGGGCAACCTGTTGTAGTGCCTCATTACCCTCACAGTAAAGAATTTCTTCCTTATATATAATCTAAATTTCCCCTTTTTCAGTTTAAAGCCATTCTCCCTTGCCTTATCACTACATATGCTTGTAAAAAACCCTCTCCAAATTTCCTGTAGTCCCTGTTTAGGTACTGGGAGGCTGCTTTCCTCCAGGCTGAACAAGCCCAACTCTCTCAGCCTGTCTTCACAGGAGAGCTGCACCAGCCCTCTGATCATCCTCGTGGCCTCCTCTGGACTCACTCCAAGTCCACATCCTTCTCATGCTGCTTCCTCAGAGCTGAACACAGTACACCAGGTGAAGTGTCACAAAGGCAGAGTAGAGGGGCAGGATCACCTCCTTCGACCTGCTGGTCACGCTCCTTTTGATGCAGAACAGGATACGGTTGGCTCTCTGGGTTGCAAGTGCACGTTTGTGGATCATGTTGAACTTCCTGTCAGTCATTCCTGGCTAGCTTGTACTGCACTATATATTCCCCAGTGTTTTGTCCTCTTTACAGTTTCAGATGACTCAAACAAAAGGCTTTCCATGAAGAAAATGTCTTAACTCAAGGCTTTACAGGTTAGTGCATCCCCAAGCACTGCAATCCCACAGCTGATGAGATGAATACCTCTGCAAAGCCCTTTTACTGTCTTCTGCAGCATCCTTGTTAAAAGACACAGACTTTATTAAAGCACATTTCTAAATCTGCTGCTATTGCTTTATTTTAGGGTGTATTTAAGCATCTTAGTAATTAGTTACACTCTATACAGAACACTAAATTGTTAACACATTGATAATCACTGCCAAATAGGCAGTGTTTGCTCTGGGTATAGTTCCCAATTCCATTAAGACCCCCCTTACAAACAGCTGGCCTTAAAGTTGTCTTAAAATCACCTTTAAAGTCATGTTTCAACTAAAACATACCAGTATAATTTACTCCCAATTTAAGCCTCTTTGATGCTGCCAAAGTTGTTAAAAGAGGAACATTCAAATCGATGAAAAGCCCTGGCCTTTTAACAGCAGCATTCCTCATTCCACTAGCAGTAATTTGAATAGGTACAATAATCTGTCACTTGAGAAGAGAGGCCTCTACAAGTGCAATAAACCTATTTACTTTGTTGCTGATCATTAAAAAAAAGTGCTTAATAATCAAATCCAGGTACACAGAAAAAATTCACACAGCTATTTAAAGAGCCCACTGCTATGGCCCAACCCTGTGAGTAAATCCCTTCACAGCCCCTTATTTCTATTGTCAACATGAGCAAGCAAACAGCTTCTACCCTGTGTAGATATGAAAGTGTGAATCAACACACGTAGCAAAGAGGAACCTTGCTAGTCCTGTGGTTTTAGTTAATAGATGAAGGACTGAGGCTGAATTCTTGTAAAGCACTGGGTAGCTGGGAATCATGTGCTGGTTTGCGATGGACGTGAATTTAGAGTAAATTATTTAACAGCCCTTTCTCTAGGTCTAAAACCTGAGCTGGCCAAGAAGACTTTTCACATGTCCTTTCAATTATTAACTGTTGTAATTCCTGATGTGCCAGCTGAAGGATCCAGTCGTATATCTAAGTCAGCCATAGGAAGGATACATGGTGTGGGCTACATGAGCATCTTCAATTAATCAGTGTGGGCAGGCATCAAAATACTATGACTGCCATATTTTGCAAATAGGGAAGGCATGGAGAGGTGGACGTGACACCATGTCCTAGGCTCCACTGCAACCCAACCAAAACCCAGCCTTTGCAAACTGCTGTCCATTGGATACTAGAAAAAATATACAACCTGAGCAGCTTCCAAGCACTGCTCCTCTCCTTTCTTAAGTCCCTCAGAGCTTTGCTATGGGAGAAACAATTCCGTAGATTTAGGAGATTCTTGGCTTTTCCTTTTCCATGGTCAGCTTTCACAGCTGGAATATCTAAATTCCTTTAGAAAAGTAATCCAGCCCTACTACTTCAATGTCCCATAACATTTTGAGATATAGACACTTCTTTATGAATAGGTATGATGGTTAAGACATCATGAATAATGCTTTATAAATACCACAATAAAACTTCTGGCTATCAACAGGAAATCAGACTGTAATGGCCTTCATCAATGGATATCCTTACCTGGAAGCAAACAAACAAAAGACTATCAAGTAATTTCAGGTTTCAGGAACCATGACTTTATGGGAAATGTAACGTGTAGGAGGACAGTGGGATAGTTAATCAATCCAAAATGAGAATGAAGAGAAATTTAAGACCAAAAAACACAGTGATGGAGATTCGACAAGTTTATTTCAAAATGTTAGAAACATAAAAGAATGTGCCTGCTAATAAATTAGCTTTTCCAGGTACTTGTATTTAACCTGTTTTGCATCACTCCTCTTCCATCTTGCGGTCTGCAGATTTGTTTTCTTGAATGCTAAGGAGAATATATTCCACCACTATTTATTAATGGGTTTGTAATTTTGCTGCTTTTGGAAGTACAAGTCCATTCTCATTAAAACATGATGAAGCCTTTCTCGACCTGCCATGGTTGATAACTCTCTATTAAAGTCGCTCCTGATTTATGCTTGGCAAGCTCCAAAACGGCTTTCTTTTTGCATCTGCAGAGAGTATTATTTCACTAGCAACAACTCCCAGCTGATTTCTGTGTTCACATCCAAGAAGACAGAAGGAGAAAATAAAAACATCATTACTTAGTACCCAACATCACTACAAATTCAGTGTTTTTAATAGCCATGAGGCTTACTATCCAAGTCTTAAAGATACAAAATGCATAGGACCATTCAGTAGCATGTTCTACCTACTGGCA